GGACCCCAACAGTAAGGAAATGGTTCACAACAGCAAGGTCGTCATAAGAAGGAACCTCAGCAGGATCAGAAGGCGCATCAACGCAGGTTTCATGGCACTTGTTTTCACTATCACAAGTTTGGACACAAAGCTGCAAAGTGCCGCAGTGCGCTAGCAGGAGGCCAGCAGGGTAAGATTCATAGTCAATAGCAGCTGAACCACGGACAGGGCCGAGGCCAGGGATAACAGCTAAGATTAGAGGCATTGCCAATTGTTCCGAGGATTGAGGGGCCAGCAAGATAGTGTTAGACCCTAGAGGGGGGTGATTAGGGTCTTATGCTAATCTAATCCGATTTTATGCCAATTAAAAACTTATTAATAAATTATTCTTGCAAGATAGATATATAATGTGATATAAGCAATATAACTAAGGTGATATATTCTAGCAATGAGATATACTATATGATATATGCGAGGATATACAACTTAACACAAGGGTGAAATAGACATAAACAAAACAAGAGTGATAGTGTACAAATAAACAATACAAACACACAATATGATCACGAGTTCGGACCTTCCGTCCTACGTCTCCGCTCCCCACTCCCGGGGAGAAATCCACTATCACAACCGGGTTTTCTACGCTTACCCGAATAACGTTTACACCTCACACTCGGTTTTCTAGCTAACCGAAAACTTTACAATCAACACTCTTGCAATCCCACTCTACACCCACTAAGTGTTGGAACTAGACGTGTCTCCCTCAAGTGCTCGGATACAACCTCTCCCTAGGTTCGTCAACCGACGCTACTCCTCTTGGGACGATCCCTGACTCTCGCCACACACTTCTCTCGGTGTACAAGTGGATTACAAAATGAACCTCACAATAAGCACAATTACAGTAATGGATGTTCTCTACAATTGATGAGAACTCAATGAATCCTAATATCACTAAATCACACACTACTATCCAACAATATATTATATGAAACACTATAAGCTCAAATGTGGATAAGTGTGATAAAAGAGAATAAATGAAATCTAACTCAATCAACAAACTAGCAATAATAATGTATAAATAATCACGAACAAATTGCTAGAGAATAGAGTTAGAAAACTTCTCTATAAAACACAAGAGAGGTTGAAGAAGATTGAGGATGAATTCCTCAATTTGAAGAGCAAGCCACCTCTTGTTAAACCAAACTAAAACTCTTAAACAAACTTTGATAATCTTTTAAACTTTTGTTAAAAACACATGAAAAACTGCATTTGCTGAAGAAGACATTGGAGGGTTTATATAGGAAGAGAAAACAGTGCACAAAACCCAATGAAGACCAGCAAAATATCCCAAAAATCAAGAACCATATTTTTCTCAGAACTAGCTATTGGAGAGCTTATCAGTCGACTGACGGGCGGCGCCAGTCGACTGATGAGCTGGTCGTTAAGTTCAAATGCCAGCTTTTCAGTCGACTGATGAAAACTTATCAGTCGACTGACATGGTCAGTCGACACATCAGTCGACTAAAATGGAGCAGAGGCTAAATGAAGATTCCAGCCATATTTTTCAGTCGACACATCAGTCGACTGATCACAAGAAATCTGCCAGAATCAGTTCTGAAGATGATTTTTGAAGCTCTATTAAAAATAACAAATAATTTTAAAAAAATGTAAAACTTTGGGGAAAGATTATGAACATGAATATGAACATGTTGGAAAAGGAATTTTTCAAATAGCTCTTCCCATTTGTAAAAACATTTGAATATGCAAAAAGGCTAAAATACATGTTTTTCAAAACATGTTGTTTTTTGTCATTTTGGTTCAAATCAACAAATGAAAACTTGTATATACTTTATATGGGCATAGTAAAGGATATTAACATAGTTTATATGACCAAAAACATATTTGAATGTATTTTGCATAAAAACCTTTGTTTTAATGAAAAATTCATAAATGATGTATGTGTGTGTATTTGAGCTCATAGAATGTCACACAATATATAAACCTATACTAAGTATACCAAGAAGAATTCTTCTGAAGCCTGGGCTTGAATTGACTAGAGATGTGCATGGCTTCAATAAATGAGTTGTATGTCAAATTCTTGTATATACCTGTATATGCTAAAACAACACTAAACAAGATACTGAAAACAAGATCAGTGGTAAATTGTTTGTTAAAGCATCATCAAAACAAGAGGACTCAATAGATAGGTCTGTGCCATCTAGGAGATTCCTCGGGGATAGATAATCCCGTATGCCGCAGATCCTTCAGCACAGCATTCTGCAGCATCGGGCAGAGCATATGCAGTCGTACAGCGTGATCATGATGCGAACGGAGCCGTAATGGAAGGTACGTTCCTTGTGAACTCCTTCCCCACTCGTATCTCTTTGATTCAGGAGTTCCACAGCCGTAATGGAAGGTACGTTCCTTGTGAACTCCTTCCCCACTCGTATCTCTTTGATTCAGGAGTTCCACATTCCTTTTTATTTATTTATGTTCTCATAACTCCTTCCCCACTCGTATCTCTTTGATTCAGGAGTTCCACATTCCTTTTTATTTATTTATGTTCTCATGGATAGACTTCAGTTAGTTATACATCCCCTAGACATTCTTTTGTCAGTTTCTATTCCTTTAGGAGATGCATCCCTATTAGAGAGCATTTGTAGGAGATATGTTATCGGCTTAGATGAGTCTAAGTTCATAGTCGATTTGATCATCCTGTGTATGTCTGAATTCGATGTGATTCTTGATATAAATTGGTTATCTTCCTACCACATCAGTATCGACTGTTTTGCGAAAATAGTTAGTTTGCTAGCGTCCGATATGACCGAATTAGTTGTAGCAACCTCACAAGGCAACCCGTTTACGGAGTCATTTCTGGCATATGACAAGGAGGTGTTGTTTCGAGATCAGGGTGCAGATTTGAGCGAGACTAGAGTCATCTCAGAGTATCAAAATGTTTTTCGAGATACACATGGATTGCCTCCAGTGAGAGAGGTTGAGTTTTGCATCGAGCTGCAGTCGGACACATCACCGATCTCCCGTGCACCTTAGCGTATGGCACTTGCTGAGATGAGGGAGCTACAGATTCAGTTAGGTGAGCTTTTATCTCAGTATGGCACTTGCTGAGATGAGGGAGCTACAGATTCAGTTAGGTGAGCTTTTATCTCAGGGTTTTATTCGCCAGAGTCATTCTTCGTGGGGAGCACTAGTCCTCTTCGTGAAGAAGAAGGACGACAGTATGCATTTGTGTATAGATTATCGCGAGTTGAATAAGGTCACCATCCAGAACAGGTTCCCACTATCAAGGATTGATGACTTATTTGACCAGTTACAGGGAGCGCATTGTTTCTCAAAGATTGATCTTCGTTTTGGTTATCATCAGTTGCGGGTTCGAAAGATAGATTTTCCCAAGACCATCTTTCTGACTCGATATGAGTCTTTTGAGTTTCTTGTCATGCTATTTGGGCTGACCAATACGCCCGCGGTATTCATGGATTTGATGAACCTGGTTTTTCGTCCATACTTGGATCAATTTGTGATCGTGTTTATCGATGACATCCTCATTTATTCGAGATCGGAGGCCGAGCATGAGCAGCACTTCGACTGGCGTTGCAGACTTTGTGGGAGCACCAGTTGTATGCTAAATTCAACAAATATGAGTTTTGGCTATCAGAAGTTAGATTTTTGGGCTATGTTATCAACAAGGAGGGTATTGCAGTTGATCCAACCAAGGTGGAGACAGTACTTAACTGGGAGCCGCCGAAGACCGTTACAAAGATTCGTAGCTTCTTAGGTTTGGCCGGCTATTATAGGAAGTTCATCCAAAACTTCTCGAAGATTGCTACCCCGCTGATACACCTTACGAAGAAGGGCGTTCAGTTTGTTTGGAGCCTGGAGTGCCAGAAGGCCTTTGAGACCGCTGATACACCTTACGAAGAAGGGCGTTCAGTTTGTTTGGAGCCTGGAGTGCCAGAAGGCCTTTGAGACTTTGGAGACCAAGTTGACTACAACACCGACAGTTTGTTTGGAGCCTGGAGTGCCAGAAGGCCTTTGAGACTTTGGAGACCAAGTTGACTACAACACCGGTGTTGATCATTCCGAACAATGATAAGATGTTTGTTGTCTATACGGATGCATCTTTATCAGGTTTAGGAGGCGTTTTGATGCAGACCCGGAGAGTAGTGGTTTACATCTCATGGCAGTTGATGACTCGAGCAGAACTATCTCACACATGACTTGGAGTTAGCAGCAATGGTCTTCGCACTGAAGACATTGAGAAACTATCTTTATAAGGTCCAGTTCGAGTTATTCACTGATCATCAGAGTCTGAAGTATCTTTTCTCCCAAAAAAAACTCAACCAGAGGCAACGACGATGGGTAGAGTTCATTAAAGATTACGAATTCGCGCTTCAGTACCATCCCAAGAAGGCAAACGTCATAGTGGACGCGTTGAGTAGGAAGCGTCGTCACGGGCTTGCAGCTTTGAGGTATTTGTTGTATCGAGATCTTCTCACCCTCAGCCAGTATGATTTTAGGCTAGAGATTGGCGGAAACAGTGTATTTTTTGGAGCTTTAGCCGTGCAGCTATCATGGACTGATAGGGTGATCAACGCCTAGTTAGGAGACTATTAGATTCAAACCCAAAAATGAGAGATTTCCAAAAAGCCCAAAGCTGATTGAACCATTGGAGAAGATGAAGGTCTTCGAATGAAAGACCGACTAGTGGTGCCGGATAATCTACAGTTGAAGAAGGATTTATTTGACGAGACACATTGCACCAAGTACACAGTGCATCCAGGCACAACCAAAATGTACAAAGACATGAAGAGGCATTTTTGGTGGAGTGACATGTGTAGGGATACAGAGTATGTAGCTAAGTGCTTTACCTGTCAGCAAATGAATGCAGAACATCAGAGACCCCCCCAGGAACCCTACAGCCTTTACCCATTCCAAAGTGGAAGTGGGTAGATATTTCGATGGATTTTATTGTAGGATTGCCGAGGTCCAACAAGGGGAATGATTCTATTTGGGTGATAGTTGATCGGTTGACAAAGTCGACGCACTTCTTGCCAGTTAAGACGTCATACACGACGGAGACTTATGCAAGAATTTTCATGCGGGAGATAGTTCGATTGCATGGAGTTCCGAAGATGATTGTTTCGGATCTAGGCTCAGTTTTCATTTCGCATTTCTTGAAGAGTTTCCAGAATTCTTTCGTCAGTCAGCTATCGTATAGTAGTGTTTTCCATCAGTAAACAGATGGCCAAACAGTGAGAGTTAATCAAGTGTTGAAGGATATGTTGCGGGCATGTGTTATTGATTTCTAGGGCAGTTGGGAGGACCATATTCCATTGGTTGAATTTTCATATAACAACAGTTATCAAATCAACGATAGGCATGGCTCCTTATGAAGCATTGTATGGGAGGTATTGTAGATCTCCTATTTGTTGGGCAGAGTCGGAGGACAGCTTACTACTTGGCACGGAGCTCGTGAGGACAGCTTACTACTTGGCCCAAAGTCGGCAAAAGAGCTATAGAGACCAGAGATAACGACCTTTGGAGTTCCAGGTTAGAGATTTTGTCTTGTTGAAGGTGTCACCTATGAAGGTAGTTCAGCGATTTCGTAGACGGGGAAAACTTGCCCGAGATATATTGGTCCGTTCTGGATTGTGGACCATGTTGTAGCCGTTTCGTATCGACTAGATCTTCTAGCATTGATGTCGAGTATACACGATGTATTTCATGTTTTGATGCTCAAGAAGCGTTTATGCGACGATGAGCAGCAAAAAGTGCTAGACGCGCCAGAGACTGAGCTTCAGTCTGATTTGTCTACCATTGAGATCCCAGTTCGCATTCTTGCTAAAGAGGACAAGAAGCTTAGAAATAAGATGATCCCTTTAGTGAAGGTTTAATGAAACCGGAAAGGAGATGAGGAGGCTTCTTAGGAGCACGATGAAGATATGTATCGCGACTATCCACACCTGTTTGAGCAGGTAAAATGTAAACTATGATTTTTTGTGTTCATGATTATTTGTATAGCCACATTTATATTTAACGTTGGAATGAGGATATTAACACTTAACTCCTAATCATTCAGAACAAATGATATATACATGGGAGATCCCTTGTTTGGATTTTTTGCCCAACGTACTAGTTCCGTTTAATTAGGGGTTAAGTGAGAGTATTCGCATTTTAGATTGTTAAGTATAAATATCGTTTATGTTTCATATCTTGGGATTAATGGTATGAGATGTGTACGTGAGGGTTTCCTTGTCTGGATTATTCCCTCAACGTGCTCTTCTCGTATTATTAATCTTTAAGATACGATTGCGGAATTTCAAGGACGAAATTCTTTTGGGGGGTGGGAGGGGAGGGGGGGTGAATGTAAACCCCATAAATTTTAAAATATTATGAAAAATAACATTAAAAGGGTTTTTATTATGATAAATATCATTTATTGATAAATGAGCATGTTAGTAATCGATTTGAGATCGATTAAATGCGTATATAAGAGTAAACGAGTGAAAACATGCACACACATGCACAAAACTGTAAATAGTTTTGTGTTCTGGTCGGTCGACGGACCCAAGATGATCGGTCGACCGATGATGCCTAATCGGTCGACCGATGATGCCTAATTGGTCGACCGATGCCTTGTGGCCAGTCGACCGACGGGGCCAATTCTAGAATTTCAGTTTGAGTCGGATTTCGGGTCTTTTTGAATTGGTTCGGGTTTGTTGGTATATATAAGGACATAATTCACGAAAATCTCTCTTTTACATCATATTTGAACTCTAGCAACCACTCTCTCCCCTCAAAAACCCTAGAGCATATTTTGGTGAATTTTATGAGCTTTGTGAAGCAAATACCAAGAAGAGGGCGAGATTGTCGGTATTTGGCGAGGGAGGACATGTTTTCTTGCACCCTTGGGTTTTTCAGCAGCATTTTTAGTGAGTTTCATCTCCTCTAATCACATCCCTGTTTTTAATTAGTTTTTACTGAGTATTATTTGGTTTTATTGGACCTTAAAACCTAGTTTAAGTATAAACATTACTCTTTTAAAGTATGTGATACAAAGATTCGATCTTTTCGTTTTAAAAGGTTATAAACGAATTCTCTGATTTGGATTTAAGCTCTAAAATAAAATCTAACATGAGTTTTCGTCGAGATTTATAGGTTTTCATGATGTTTCTGACGAATATGAATATGTTAGGGTTTATATAATTCACCTAAATATAATAATTGAGTTTCATGTAGTTAATTGACCCTAATCACATAATTCACCTAAATATAATAATTGAATTTCATGTAGTTAATTGACCCTAATCACACTAAACAAGATTTTATATTGTGTTTTATCTGAATTATATCAATTTCTAAGAGCTAGAAACAAATCTACATATTACTCGAAACAATTGACAGGAACATGACAATTTGTCTTTGGTCGGTCGGCCGTGTAGGCAAATAAAATTGCCTTTATTTCCAATAAAGGAGATGAAGCTTAAAGGTTCGCCTTCATCACTGAACCCCGCATGAGCATCCAAACTCGCATGAACAAAGCTTGTTTTGTTTGTTCACCTGAATCAAATACTGAACCCCGCATGAGCATCCAAACTCGCATGAACAAAGCTTGTTTTGTTTGTTCACCTGAATCAAATAAGGCCAAGTCAAGTTCGCCTGAATGTTTGACTTCGTAGGTGAAGCGAAGCTCGCCTAAACATCGAGCTTCGCCTAAAAGGAGCTAAGCTCGTCTGCATACTTGGCTCACCAACTTCGTCTGCAAGTTAGTTAAGCTCACCTGAATGTTTAGCTCGCCAACTTCGCCTGTAAGTTAGCTAAACTCGCCTGCATATTTGGCTCGCCAACTTCGCCTACACACTTAAAAGCTCGCCTGCAAGCTCTCCTAGTTTGCCTGAACGGTTAAAACTGTCTGCTCGAATTGTAGGAGTGGTTATGCCCACTTCTCATGTTCTAAGGAGGTGGTTACAACTATTCTCCTCTATAAAAAGCCACGAATGGCAATGGAGAAGGGGCTTTTTTTTGGAAAATTT